ATTCTGATAATACGTCTGTTCTTAATTTCTATGTCAATTTTCATGTATTGAAATTTAAATCTTAGTCTGTTTTCCTAGACTTTAGGTAGGTCCTGGGAAGTTGGAGAATTAAATTAACTTTAGTGTTAGCCTAAGAAAACTATTTTAAAAAGAGGATCATTTTATACATTCTTAATTGACATATTCACAGTTTATCAATAATTTTATTGCCCATGATAATTTTCTTTTGTTCATGCTGAGACATGTGGATTAGTGATCATAAAACTATCACATCTATACATATAGTCCTCAAATCTTCTTCTTTAGTGCTAACTTTTTCCCAGATATGTAAATTGGACAGTGGCATTTCCAGCTTAGTATCCTCTATCAACATCTCCAAAATTGATTTCATTATGATTTTTTAATAGCACTAACATCATGCATGGTGGGAGCATGGTATCATCATGGTCTCACCCCAGAGTCAAAATCCCCTGGCTTGTGTCCCCCCTCGACATTTCCTTTCTATTCATACTTCTATCATTGTAGGTCACATTCACTTTACTCTTCAGTTACATTATGGTATTCCAACTTTATCTACTGATTATCTTGCATATATCTTTTTCTACCTAATTCTGCTGCCACATAACTATCATGGAAGTTAAATTTTCATCACATGTCACTTGACTAGTCGAAACCACTGAATTCATTATGCCATTTAAGATTCTACATAAAGAACCCGTGCCAACTTTCTAACATAATCTAACCTACATACTCTTATTGTCGTTGATACTGTACTAGTGGAAGTTTCTGTAACATGTCTCTTACTCTCTGGTGCCAGCATTTTTCTCACCCTGTTCCAATCTTCTAGAACACTTTTGCATCTCTACCAGTCAAAAGCTTGTGATTCTTTCATGTTAAATCTAAAATTTTGTTCCCTGTTTGAAAGCTGTTACTGATTTTTTTTCTTAGCTCAATAGTATGTCTTCCTTCCCCTTACTCAAATAACAGTCTCAATAGCAGTTTCCATTTTTTTATTTTTGTTTTGTATTTGCCTTCATCCATAGACATATGTATTCTTGGCATTCCATTAATAGACTGATTATAAGCCATTTAAGGGCAAAAAGTATATTTTATTCATCTCTGGTTTCTTCCTGCTCACTGCCATGAACATGAAGTATTGGTCCTATGAGCTAAGATTTGTGACATAGAAACCCACAAAGGAAAATTCACAGGAGTCATAGCAAAAGTCCAATATCATGCAGAGATGTTCATAAAACTTTTGGGACCTGCCTCTCTCCCCCAAAACAGATGACCAACTAGCATTACACACCTATTAGATTGACTGAAAACACCACCAAATGCTGACAAGGATGTGAAACAATGGGAACTGTTATATATCACTGGTGGGAATGCAAATTGGTGCAGCCACTTTGGAAGACAGTTTAATGTTTTCTTACAAAATTAAATATAATCTTACCATACAATCTGGCAATCACACCTTTGGTATTTATAGAAAGGAATTGAAAACTTATGTTCATGAAAATCCTGCACAAGGATTCATATAGCAGCTTTATTTGTATTACCAAAACTTGGAAGTAATCAATATGTTCTTCAGTAGGTGAATGGATAAACTGTGGTACATCCTGACAAGAAAATATTATTCAGCTCTAAAAAGAAATGAGCTATCAAGGCATAAAATAATATAGAGGAAACTTAAATGAATATTACCAAGTAAAAGAAGCCAATTTGAAAAGGCAATTACTATATAATTCCAACTATATGACATTCTGGAAAAGGCAAAATTATGGAGACAATAAAAAAAAAAATCAGTAATTGACAGAGGTAGAGATGGAGGGAGGAGTAAATAGGTGTAGAACTGAGAATTTTTAGGGCAAGGAAAATAATCTTCATGATACCATAAAGATCATGTCATTACAGTATATATTTGTCCAAACCCTTAAAATGTATACAACTAAGAGTGAATCATAATATAAACTATGGGCTTTGGGTGCTTATGAAGTGTCTGTGTAGGTTCATCAATTGTAACAATTTACCACTGGGGTGGGGTATCTAGATAATGAGGGAGCCTATGCATGTGTGGGGGTAGAAAGAATATGGGCAATTTCTGTACCTTCCCCTCAGTTTTGCTCTGAACCCTAAATTGCTCTAAAAAATAAAATCTTAAAGAAACAAAAATGACTGCCTACAGAAATATTTATTTATATTTACTAAAAATATCCCCTCACCTTATTACTTAAATATAAATTTCTTACTTCCAAACCTCTACTGCCTAGGCTAAGAGCATACAGCTCTGTAGCTAAAGAAAATGCTCTCCTCAAGCATGAAATACTATGCTAATCTTGCAAAGAGACAATTACATCTAAGTATATTCTTTTACTTCCTCAGAGGTAATCCTGATACGTGTCAAACTATCCACAAGTTTTTTGATTCAAGAATATTTTTAAAAAAATGTTAAATCATATTAATCAGGAAAAAATGCAAAGATAATGGGAACTAACATTAGTTAGTGATAGGTGCCTTAAATTTATAATCTCATTTAATCTTCAAAATCACCTAGTGAGTTTATTTTCACTTTGCAAAATAGAAAACGGTGAACAGAGGGGGCCTCAGAGACAAATGCCATGTCATGCTCAGTCAGTTTCAAACCCATTTATGACCCTAAGTCTATGTTCATAACATCACATCACTCTAGCTTCCAGAAAGTAAAAAAGAAAATAGAGAGCCATAATGGTCATGGTCATGAAAACAAGAATCAATTCTATGGTGCTAAATAGACATGAAAGATATCTGAGCTACATAATTTAGTAGTTATCATTTTGTAAATTTATTGCATTTTTAATTTTTAATATTCAGAAGGTGGTTAACGTCACCTATTCTTATTTTCCTGGGATATTGAAGTTCAGTTAACTGATATAGTATTAGGAGACCAAAAATAGTTTTGTAGTATTATTATTTAAATTGGAAAAAAAGTGGTGGGCAAAAACAATTAACTATATTACCTTAGCCTTATCCTAGGCTAAGAATATAGAAAGCTCCTGAAATTTATGATAGTAAACTTTCTTTATGTTCTCTCTTTCTGGCAGACTATTTTTTTTTTTTTTTAATTTTCCCTAGACAAATAAACCTGAAATTATTTTTAAAATGTAATCTTTGATTTTGTATAGTTGTATTCAAATATTAAAGTTTGTATATGAGTAAAGTTCTGCTGAAGGAGTTTATGCTCTTTTTAATACTAAAAGAGACTGATAATATTTATTTATTGCTCACAATTTTCTGATTCGGTCATCCTTAGTTTTAGTTTTGCATTAAGGAAATTTAAAGTTAAATCATGGCTTTGAACTGCTCTTTGCTGACTATTTTTATTGGCTTTTTAAAGACTAAAATAGACTTGCAAAATGCTATAGAAACCCAAAATAATAAAAATCGAGTCAATTAAATCCTATGTTAAATTCAGAATCATGGAACATGGATCGCCTGTGCAATATTTATAGTGAGAGTGTTAAATAAGTTGGTATAGTTTGCTTTAACATTTGTGTTCACAGGAAATAAATTTAAGAAGATCTGGAAGGCTTGTTTCCTTCTAGAAGTGCTTTTTGTCTCAGATTTTAGCTTAGTTATGTCTCAAAAAGAGTCACATATCTCCATCTGGTGGCCAAGTCATAAAATACTTTTTCAAGATGTTCTAATTTGGTATTGTTTCAAATTTCCAATTTTAATTAATACCATAATCATATTGAAAATTTAGTTCTTAAGGTTTATGTTACAGTAAATAGCATTCAAATAATTAGCGGCCTTTAGGAAGTTAAGCATTGTCTCATCTGTTTCTAAAAGTCATTAATAATCATAAAACATAAATCCATTTTTATGGCCACTGAAACTATCATTTCCCCCTATTCTCCTGAAGAGAATAAAAGAATTGTTTGATTTTTTTCTAATACCATTTCACAGTAATGTATGCACAACTCTTTTTAAAATTTCATTTTATCAGCCAATGATTAAATATTTATTTAGTAAGAAACAAGGTCAAAAACTTATTTAAACCCAAAATATGTTATTTCTTTCATTTTTTTCACAATTTACCAGATTCATTCATTTATTATAGAAATATTTTTATTTTAGATTTTGGTCAGTTTTCCTCTTTAAGAATTAATACTGATATTTATTTAACATACATAAAATTGGAATGATGATAACTTTTTTCCTTGTATCTTAGTTGTGAAATCTGCAAATATATAATTTTAGTATCATTTGTTATTTAACTCAATTTATAATAAACTTTGCTACAGTCATTAAACATCTTCTTCCAAAATCATGTCTGTGCTAACCATAGCCCTGCTTCCAAACCATTCTGACCTCTTCAAAATGATAGCTGGGATTCACGTTTTTTTAAAATGATAAAATAATTAGCCCTATGTTAGAATAAATTCTTTTATTTTCTTTTTTGTTAAATTGAACCATCTAATTAAAAGAGCAATATTTCCTTAATGCACATCTGATTGAAATTAGTATTGAGAAGCTGATTGTCTAACAAGGTTTTTGATTAGATGTATATTATGGCTAAATTCTTTATCTTGATATGTTGATATTTATGAAGACTTTTATATTATTATAATGCTAGCATTTTATTTTATTGAATTTTTACTTTTATTTGATATTTATTTTATTTTTTATTTGATATGTCCCATCTGTGTCTCTTAGCATCATTTCAAGTGATTTGGGGTGTGTATCAACCATCATTACCTAATTCTCGCCTTATATTAGAAGAACACTTCTACTTGTTAACATTCTATATATAAAATACCATAAAATTATAACCTTGCAATTGGTTGTTTGGTTCACTCATTTTTTTGATTCATATGAAGCACTCTCTAGCTTTGTTCACTGTGTAGCAAGTTCTCACTTTGAAGAAATGAAAAAAATATTAAAAGAACAAATGAATTATTTTCTAAAATAATGATACATCAATATAATTGAAAAGTAAACATTCTTTCCCTTTTCAGAGGCGAGCTGCTGATAATTTGAGAAGACATCACCAGTATCAAGTAAGTTATTCTATCTTGAAATTTATATTAAAATAAAGTGCAGTCCCCTCTTCAGAATTGACTCAAGAAAGGAATTCTATTTATTCATTGAATATCAATTCTGTTGTTTTAAAATAAATCAGGAAGTTATGAGGAACCTGGTGAAGCGATATGTTGCTGCGATGATTAGAGATGCCAAAACCGAAGAAGGGCTGACTGAAGAGAACTTTAAGGTAACCATTTTCCCTTCACGATGAAATCACCAAGAAGCAGATTCTGCAGAGCATGGAACCTGATACAACACGTTTCAAATCAGAGATGGAGAAGAGATTAAGGAGTACAAATTGGTAGTTATGAAATAGTCAAGGGGATGTGAAGTACAGCATAAAAAATATGGTTAATAATATTGTAATAATTATGTATAGTACCAAGTGGGTAGTAGACTGATTGTGGAGGAACCACTTCATAAACTATATGAATGTCTAACCACTATGTTGTACTCCTGAAACTAATATAAAATAATTTTGAATGTCATCTTTAATTGAAAATCAATCAATCAATAACAGCTGGAAACTCAGCTGTGTGTTCCAACAAGCCTGTGTGTCTTCTGATTTTTAAATTAATGCTCTATTAAATTATCGAAAAAAAGTGATGACATTTCATCTCAAAATACATTGTTTTCAAACATACTTAATCTGAAATATTGAGAGGATTTGTTTGGAGACAGAGAAAATTTTAGGGCCTGGTAGAATTCTGACTTGCTGATCTCAGCAACATTCTACTGAATAAGCTTTAGTTTTTGAAATTTCAATCTGATTTCTAATCCTGAAATATCAAGTAACCAATATCCTAAAAAAAAAAATTTTTTTAAACTGCATTTTGCACATCTTTGGTAGCAGATTTGAGTTACACTTATAAACTTAGTCTTTGCCCTTGAGTTCTTTTTTTTTTTATTCTATCAGAGGAGATAGGTGAAATACATGAAAAATTATATATGTGTGCTCATTTCTTGTGTATAAAATACCTGTTATTATGCATGAGCTTTTAGATATTTTGGAAGAACAATTAAAGTCAATACAATCTTATAGGCAAAAAGCAAAGAAAAAAATCCTACAGCATTTTTAACAGAGAAAAGCATCAGATTTGACAGACAGCAAAGGTAAGCAGCCAATTCATTAAGAAGATAGGTATATTGCAAAACTTAAAGCACAGAATGAAAGTTGGCTAGGACCCAAAATGTTCTTTGAGGCCATGACATTCCAAATTTTGGAGTTAAATGATTCATGGTGCTTTGGGAGATAGGTTGGAGGCAGGAGACTACCTCAAAGGCTGCCATCAGGTTAGGACGGAGAATTCAAATGTCCAAAAAGAGGAGAAAAAAAGAATGAATCTCAGAAATGTTGTCTGATTTGAAGCAATTTGGAGGATTAAATGGCTGACCCAGGTGATGGGGTGAAATTAACTCCTAGACAGTAAGCAGTGAAATGTCAACTCGGAAGGGTGGACTCCATTTTAATTATTTTGTTATAAACGTCCCTTTATATAGCAAAATGTGCCTATATTAAAAATCTTTACAAAATGCATCCCTGAGAGAGTGTGAAGTGACTTGAAAGAGGACGTATATTGTAGAAGGAAGTATTTGAAACTGTAGTCACCCCAGAAACATAATATATTCTCAACAACACCGTGGTGGAAAAGAAAACTCTTTCTGTTTCTTATTCCATTATCCTTCAGAAGTCTTCTTATTACTATAGAACTCTTGTAGGAAAATTAGTAGATATCACAGTGACACAGGGAAAAAATTGAAATTCTTGAAGGAACCTCAGCAGAGTGGCATCCTAACTCCTAAAAATGAGTGAAAACACATCAAACCCATATATGAAATGAGCAAATGCTGCTTCCTAATGTTTCTTTGTTTAAATCACAAACTAATTTCATCATTTTAAATTTCACGTAGGAACTAAAGCAAGACATTTCTAGTTTTCGCTTTGAAGTCCTGGGGTTACTAAGAGGAAGCAAACTCTCTGCAGTACAGTCTGCTCAGGCCACGAAAGACTTTCCTAATCCAGCAGACTCAGATGAAAAGAGCGATAACGAAGGTAGCAGCAAAGACAAGAAGAAGAACTTCAGCCTTTTTGATTTAACAGCTCTGATTCACCCGCGATCAGCTGCAATTGCAGAAAGACACAACATAAGCAACGGCTCTGCGCTGGTGGTGCAGGAGCCCCTGCGGGAGAAGCAGAGAAAAATGAATTTTGTGACAGATATAAAAACCTTCGGGTTATTTCATAGACGATCAAAACAAAACGCTGCTGAGCAAAATGCAAATCAAATCTTCTCTGTTTCAGAAGAGGTTGCTCGTCAACAAGCTGAGGGACCACTGGAGAGAAATATTCAACTGGAATCTCGAGGATTAGCTTCACGGGGCGACCTGAGCATCCCCGGGCTCAGTGAACAGTGCATACTTGTAGACCATCGGGAAAGGAACACGGACAGCCTGGGTTTACAGATGGGCAAGAGAATGTGTTCGTTCAAGTCAGAGAGGGTGGTGGTGGAAGACACTGTTCCAATAATACCAAAGGAGAAGCACGCAAAGGAAGAAGACTCTAGTACAGACTATGATGTAACCCTCACAGACACAGTCACCCACGAAGATTATGTGACCACAAGATTGTGATACTGGAAGGAGAAAGCGTTTATCATACATACATATTTCCCATAATGCTCTGAGTTGGGGGGGTGGGGGATGCTTAAGAGTAAATTACAAATGCTAACTTACACTTTGTAGCATTTATGTGGCATAATAATGTGTAACACTTTTAAATAAGGCAAAAGCTGTCAAAAATCCTTGGTTTGTAGCCTGCTTTGGCTTTCACAATTTGTTTTACAATTTTTTTTGTTAATAAATAAACGTACCTTGTATTCTTGTACTGTTGCAGTAACCCACAGGAAATTTTAGCTATCTTTTTTTCAATTAAAACAAATGCAACTTACTTCATGTGGTAGTTGACTCCCATAATAGATATTTTTATATGCGAAAATCAATGTAGCTGATACATTAGAGCTTTTCATGAATTTTTAGGGTCTCTAGAGATGGTTACTCCTCAAGGACTTTACGCTCAGCCCTACAGTTTAGATTTAAAACACAAATATTAGCAAATTATTTCTTAAGAATCTTTAACTAATAATTGTATACAATTAAAGCAAGCAAGTTTTCTCATAGGGTCATGATCAAACTTTCTTAAAATGAAAGTCAGATATACTTAGCATAGTTTTACTTTGTACAGTTTTTCCTTTCAGAAAGTAAAGAAATGTTTGTTCTGATAAATTTAGATGATTGATAATTTTTAAGATTTTTTTTTCAGAAAAAAGTTTTACTTCCAGTATTTTTTTTAAACATCTTTTTTCAAGTTCAACTGCTGATCGGTATAAATATGACACTTTATGAATAACTGGATTTCAAAAAGGTGGCAAACTTTCTCAGTGCCAGAAAAGAATCACGATAAATTAGAATAGTTAAAGCAACTTAAACAAAGCAGAGTGATTGCATGCAGCTAATATTGAGGTGAATTCATTCTAACAATCTTAAATCTAAGAAAAATTAAATTCTATTTTCAATCAGTGCAATATTGTTGTTAATCAAAAGAAGTGCAAAAACCTGGTAGTTTTCTTTTCCCCCGTGACTGATATATATTTCTTTAAAGTTAAAATTACTAAAAATAATTATTAATTTTAGCAATAGATGTAGAAATAGTTTTCTCCGTAGGGACAATATCTTTAATTGCTTGTTTCGTCTGTAGTTTTCAAGGTAATTTAGCATATATTACATTCTTTCACTGAACTACTAAAAAGAAAGTGTTTCCACTGATATAAAGTGTTTACTTGATATAAAACAGGTACTGGCAACTTTTTAAAGTTTAAATTGTATAACTTGTGTCTGTTTATGCCACCATGGAAATAAAAGTTTCCTCACTACATGCAATTATCATTTATTTCAAATCAATAGAAAAGTGCTAAGTTTGTTTTACTTCAAAAATTATTTCCATGAACTAGACAAATTTTATATTATTTAGCATTAACCAAAAACTGCATAGTGTTACAAAACTTTGATTATCATACATCAAAAATAAGGAATAATAGCAATAACAATGCCAGCCACTCTTTAATGTGCTATGCATGTATTAACACATATATACTGCTCATAACAACACTCTGAGGTAGCTACTATTCTTATCGCCACGTTGTAGATGAAGAAACTGAGGCAAATACTAAGTTAAGGTTCACAGTAAGTGATGGAGCTATGATGTGTCCTTCAGAGCCATGCTCTTAACCACTCCTCAGATGGTTAAACCAAGCAAAAACATGTGTACATAATAATTATGGGATTTAGTTGAATGAAGGAATGCCACTTCTGAAATGCTATGTTCTGAGAGAGAATGCATTTGATAAACTCCATAAATTTGTGTCCCTTCTTGTAAAGCAAGAGGAATATACAAAAGTAAAAATGTAATATATTTTCTTTAGACTCCATTACATTATAGAAGTTAGTTTTAAAAACATTTGTTTTGGAATATCAGAATTCAACTTGAAATGCTAGATTTTAGTCTTCAGAAAAGTTGGGGGCAGTGAGACACTTCTCACTCTTAAATCTGGTTTTGTCCTACGGATTTAGGGATGGGCCAGATGAATTTGGAGAAAACAATAAGCCTAATGAACATTCTTCTTCAAGCACACCTTTATCTCAAATAAGTTAGGACCCAAAATAAGTACCCTTGGGACAGTGAAATACCCAAATTGTTCTAAATCATACATATGGTAGTAGGGGAAATATAAACTTGGGATATTTTGCAATAATTCCTTTTTGCTGCCTCTGTTTTTTGTTTTGTTTTGTTTTGTTCTCCAAAGATTATATACATCACCTATTACACATACTCTACCAGAACCTAATTTTACATTTCCTCTGTTCCTTCGAATAACACCACCAACAATAAGGGCAACCCCAAATTTTTTTCCCAGTAGCTTATATATATCTGGGGTTAGGGTGCTGAAATTTTACAGGTGAACGTAGGGACTACAAATGAATTTATTTGGAGCCAGTAACATCTTGCTTTTCAGTGTTCCGGAAATGAGGTTTCTAACGACCCTCAGATGTCACTGACATATACATTTATAAATTTAAACAAAGTATTGGATACTGTTAGTATCAGATATTCTAGAATTAAATATTATTCTAAATATATAGTGATATTAAGTATCACTAAGAAAGATGAACAGTGGGGAAAAAATAAGAAAACATAAAACAACAGAAAAATTACAAGTCTGAGGTCTTTAAATGAGTAATTTGGGGGTTTTTTTCCATTTCTTTTCATATGTCTAATAATAACAATTTCTAAACAACAAAGATAGGTTTGACATCACATCTTCTTTGCATAAATAACGTTTCTTGTGTTTCACACTCTCTTGATCTTATTGTTGCTCACCTTTATTATTTGTTTATTTGATTATTTTATTTTTGCCAGGGTTAGGTGAAAGAATGTTTAGAAATTTAGTTTAACTTTAATAGAATTAGATTAAATTCATAGCATTTTGTTTATCATATATATACTTTGACAAACCCATTTACAAGAAAGAATGCTATGACGATGTACCTCTCTGTTTGTGATAGATGTATTCCTAAAAATATTCATGTAAATAAATGTATATTAACTTTAGTAGGGAAACTGGCTCTGTAAATGGAAAAAAAGAAAAAAAGAAAAGGTAGTGAATTATTTTGTAAAACGATGAATTATTTTTCAAAGTGATAATCATCCTTAAGATATTAACTGTTTCATAAATTGGATATTTGTACATCAAATTTTTTTAAATCAGATATTTCCTGGCTGGCAATTAAAATACTGTAAATCATGCTCACTTTTTTGCCTTGATGCAGGTAGCAACTTGACAAAATTGGGAAATCAAATACACAAACCCGATCAATAAAATTTTTTGAGTAACTGTTGGGGTATAAAGAAAAAAATGATGAAGAGTTAAGAGTGGTAAACTTATTATATTATTCTCAAAGAAGCAGTAAATTTCTCATCCAAAGTGAAAGGTAATCAGTGGTATAAAAATACACTCTTCCAATAATATTTAATAATTCTTAATAATTCTGGGATTTAGTCAAGGGAATGATTGTCTAGTCCCATGACACTTTGTTGAAGAGCAGACATCAAGTACTGAAATCTGTTCTCAGTCACTGTGCCTTGTGTTTGCAGCAGAACAGTCTATACTCGGCAGAGATGCCAGTACCCTTAAAAATCAGCCTACCCAAAATCATCTATATGTCTCTGTAAATATGTTTACAATGACTTTAAAAGAGACAAATTTATTAGTATATTTCACTATTTTAAAATTATTTATCTAGTTTACCTTTATTATGCCTTTTTTCTTGTCTTATATTCTCCAAAATTCAGACCTCCTGGGAATCATAGAATTTAAAAATTAAATATCTCCGCAGTCTCCTTAAATTCAACTTCAAAAATGTATTGCACAATATATTACGATGAATTCTGTTTATATAGTGTTGTCATATGACTTTAAAAAATTAGAATTGTTTTAAGTAAGTTCTCCATAAATAACTGGAGAAACTAGTCCTCAGGGCATTTACAGAAGTTATCCAAATATACCCAGCTACTGAGTGGTTGAATTGGATATTAAAGAAAAAACTCTTCATCTAGATATTTGGGTGAGACATTAGGTAACAAATGCCTTGGTTAATAAATTTTATTTTTGTAGAATTTTGTCTTCTTTGTCTTAAATTCAGTGAAAAATATTTATAGTTGTTCAAACTTTCTAGAGCTAAAATTCAGAATTCGTATCATATTACCTATTTCCCCTATAAAATTGTGTTCACAGATTTTTTTTAAAGCTTGTTTCTTATCCTTTTCTGATCATCATTTTTACTGTAGATTTTTTGACAATTCTTTACGTATGCTGGTAATAATAAAATGTATTAAATAGTATTAAGGCTATTCAACTGAAAAATGATAGAGTTGGAAAATATAAAGCTGAATCAAGATTTAGACCATGCTACCATGCCAAATATAGCCCTACTGTCACTGAGCTGACAAACAGTGAAGCTGTCTCTGCTAGCAAAATTCTCCAGTAGCAAAACTATCAGTTTCTTCTACTACTATCTAATATGGATACTAAGCACTTGAAATGTGGCTCTTAGTGTAAAACACATGCTGGATTTCAAAGCTAAATATGAAAATCATGTAAAATATCTCATATCTTTTAGTGATTGCATATTCAAATGATACTTTGGATAAATTGGGTTAAAATATACTCATTATATTAGTTTCATATTTCTTTTTACTTTTTCATGTAGCTATTAGAAAATTTAAGTATATATATATATAGCTTGCAGTTGTAATTTGCAGTACAATTTCTAAGGACAGTGATGCTCTGGAGGATCTGTACTTTTTTCACTCATTTTGTGTATTTCCATCATTTGACTTTTATAGGTAAAACTTATATATACTACTCAAAAAATATTGATGTGGCTCAACTAAAATTTGCCATCTCTCCTTGATTCCCAACTAAAATTTGCCATCTCTCCTTGATTTCCTAATGGAATCACAGTTAGCAATTTGCTGTATTTCATGTTTTCCCTTGCCTTTGCAAATTTAAATGTAAAAATGTATGCATATATTTAGATTACAGTTCTTATTTTTTTTAAATCAAGAATAGGATTATACTATACCTATAACTCAGTGCTTTGTTTATTTTCCTTATAACAGGGCGTCCTAGAAGCCTTTTTTGAGTCATTTAATATAAAAGAGCCATTTAAATCAATTCAAAAAATTTTCTTCATTTGTTGTTTTACTTATTGAAATATATTCATATGCTATTTTTGAAATCACTATGGAAGAGCTACTTATTGAAGAAAACATAAGA